ATTATTTGCTGTCAAGTGAATAAACCTGTAAATGACTTACAGCCAGGGGATTCCAGTGGGTTGTGTTAACCCTTTCTCTCATCAGCACAGACTTGTGTTCTTTGTGGAGTGTGTGGGATCTAGTGATAATGTGAACTGGTTTTACCCTCCACTCAAGTGCACAGCTTTAAAATACTCCATGTGTGTCAGAGAAGACATCTGTCTACACCCTCACCAGCCAACCCTTACATTGCAGTAAACACTACAAAGTATTCAAAACCTATTGTGCAAACACACACTGTAAAACCTGATAAGTTAAGAATACTCAAAACATTTGTGCTTATTGTCTCCAGTTAATGCAGTCTCATCCTGCCTCTCATCATCTCATCTTGCCTCGTCTGTGATCCTCATTGTTCATGTATTTGTTCTCTGTCTCTCTCTCTCTCTTGTTTTCTTGTTCTTCTCCTCTTCTCCCGTCTGTGCACCCAGGCAGCCCATTGAGTAACTTCTTTGACGTAATTAAACAGCTCTTTTCAGACGAGAAGAACGGGCAGGTGTCCCATCCGCCCGGCACGCCCAAGCATGCCAACAGCAAGAGACATGAGCCTGAGCCTAATGACTCCAAATGTCCATCTGGCCAAGACAAAGCCAAGATGGCACCATCAGTTGGGACACAGGAACAACCTTAAAACCAGGAGAAATACTATATACTAGTTTTAAAATAAAATAAAATAAAATAAAATAAACAAAAGAAAAGAATCCAGTCATGGTGAAAGGATGTTGTTGACTCAAGTTGGTTTTAACCAAGCCTCTACAAAGTTTTATATAAAGGAATGAATATTGAAGTACTGTATGTACTGACCCGACACTTTACAAAAGGCGTATACAGACACGCTTTTTTTTTTTTTTTTTCTCTCCAGTGTTGTTTGTTCTTCACAGTGTCACGTTATGTTGTTTTATGATGCCTTTATTTATTTCTGCTACCAGGAATTATCCAGAAAACCTGTTAAAGCCCCAAGTCCTGCACTTGCACAAGATTCATGTATGGCACATTGATGGAGGGCACATTACACAGGAAGTTCAGTACAAGCAGCTGAGGGAAACTCCTCATTCTGATGCATCTAAACACCCAAACACCAACAAGATTCCTCAACTCCTTCCTCCTGCAGCTACTGTACATACAGCCACACATGTCCAAGGATTTGGAGTGAAGCCTTAAAATAAAGATGTTTATGAATTCTCACTAAGCTAACCCACAATTCATCTTTTTATTTAAACATACTTTTTGTTTTTATCCTTGCTGGTCTTCTTTCCTCCCCGTTCTCTGCTAATGCACACACAAACACACAGACCTACATACAGGACATCCTTACAAAAGGACAAATTGCGAATGGAACTCTGGATTTCATAACGCACGTGTTTGAGGAGTTGCCCTCGAGGACCGTTGTCGGATTGTATTCTTTTCAATGTAGTCTTTCTTTGTGAAATGGAGAATTTAAAACATTTTATGGACTCAGTGTCATTGCTGTACAAGATTTGGAGATCCTTTTTGAAAAAATGGTGGGGATGAACTTTTGGGGCGGGTCGTGGACTGGGACACGGGGGTGGGAGGGGGGCGTCACAGTAAATTATATATTCTGTTGTACAGACTGAAAATATTCCTTATGTAACAAATGTCTATCAGTGGCATTGCTTAGATGAATTGTGTTGCCACATCCTGTTTTTTTTTCTCATGTAGCGTTTATGAAATGTTAGTTTTGAATGACAATTATGCTTAATGTATTCGAGGGTTACTCATGATGTCAGTTTTCGATTTGTATTTATTTCGTGTTTAATTTTTATTTTTTATTGAGAAACATCTGCAGGATTCAGAGACCTTTTATCCTTTTTTTTGTAACTTATATATGTGTTTGTCTTTTAATTTATTCAGCTGGGGAATATTTATATATACAAAACCGGGTGGTGGAGATTTTATTGTTTGCATCAGGGCGACTCATCAGATTGTTTGAAGGATCTTGTGTTTTGTGTTGGCTACGATAACACTTGTCCGATTTTGTGAATGAAGCACTCTTTCTTTCCCGGCTTTGGCCAGATTAAAGAGTTTGTAGTATATGTTAAATGATTTACTGGTAATTTAAGAATGTAGACTAGCCTCTTTAGGGTGGGGGGTGAGGGATAATGAAGTATTGATATCTGTCACTCATCTCATTGTGCGTGTAAAACAGGTGGATGAGCTCAAATCACATGTTGTAAATAGACAACTTTGGGCAAACGACTTTCTTAAAACCATCAAGGGGATCCTGCTGCTCCTGACTCTATCTCTCGTATTGCATGTCCGACATTCGGCTTTAATTTGCATGATGTTGTGGATGTTAGATTTCTCCTCCCCTTCACCTTTTTCATCATCGACTTGTTTCCCCCGTTATCACGCCTTCATTTTCAGTTGGTCGTTTTTCTCTCATCTCCCTTATCGTGAACGCTTTCTCGCCACATGCTCTGCTGCATCATGCTCTCGGGATGGGGGTCTGGGATGTCATAACACATGATCACTTATGGGAACATACAGAGAATAAGCGGAGATGTAATCTAAGCAATACACATTGTTGTCCTTCCTATTTTGTACTTTGGGAGAAAAAAAAGGAGCAAAGCTGGATTGTAATGTATCACGGATTTGATTAATACCGAGCGGGAAAAATAGAATCGCCGCTAATGTATCCCCTTGTAACTACTGTGAACAACTTCAGTGCAACGGAAATAAATCCATTGACTTTGGGATGTTGTATGTGTTTGCTGTTTTCTCAAACGTAGGGTGAGCGGTGCAAAATGTGACCCCCTAGCTTACCCCC